ATCGGGCATATTATTCTTATACGGAGAAGGCAGATGTCTGAAGAAGGTAGAGAAAGAGAAGAGAAGGCAGATTAAAAGTATTAATAATGACTAGTAATTCAGAGTGCCTCGTCACTCCATTTTGCATTTTTCCAAAAAAGTGTCACTGTTATAAGTGAAGCATTAAAAAAAAAGAACGAATACATTTTAAAAATGGGAATTTTTTAAGTTTTATTTCTCCCCCATACATGAAACAAAAAAATTCACACGATCACAGACTTAAAAAACTTGTCAAACAGGAACCTGCACTGATTCCAACTGGTTAAATTGTAAGTGCCATTCCTTAATTCAATTAAAAAAAAAACAAACAAACATAGCCGAGCAGGCTTTGAATAGAGATTGTTTTTGCAAACTAGAAAGCCTTTGAAGAAAGGAAAAGCTTTCAGCAAATACGGGTCTACGTACATCTGCAGAGGCACAATTCAGCTCACTCAGCACAGTAATACATTCAACAGCTGGGCGCAAACATTTCACTCGCTGAACCATCTACTACTCCACCTGAGAATTCGCCCCAACCCCCTAGTCTGCCCAGAAACATGTGTGCATTTCATTGTCGAATCCAAACCTGTTTTCTTATTACATTTACAGAAAAACCCTTCAATTCCTCTTTTTTTTAAAAAATACCAGCAGTTGCATTATCTCTGAGAGACGTGCAACAGACAAAAAGTCTTGCCAAGTAAAATTTCACAGCTTTACCTGCTTGAAGTACCAAAACAATACCCTGTCTTTAAAGACGTCTTTTTCTAATCAATGTGAAGCTCCATCATTTCAATGTACAGCTCTTAGGACTCCCAGATCAGGCACCAGCTGCAGAAATCACTGCGTCAAGAGAGTTTGGACATCTGCAATGCTGAAAGAACAAGACACTTCACACAAAACTGGTTTTTATCTTTGACCAACTGACAACTGGACATGTTTCACGATTCCAACTTTTCCCTGTTTTACCAAAATACATAAAAACCTGTTAATACATCAGAAGAAGTGATTATTTTACAAGAGACAACGAAAAGCATGGATTGTATGCATCATCCGCAGTCACCGAGACAGCAGGTGCTGGCAGTGAGCAACTGAAACAGGCCATATGGAGAACAAAGTAAAATCGCTTCCAGGAGGCTCATCGGAATCTAAAAAAATTCCCAAAACATGACTCTTCAGGAGTTTTTCCTCAAGGATTAGTAGTTCCACCCTGACAACAAGAAACGAGGTTCATCATGCTGAATCTCGGAACACCCTATGGTTACATTCCCACAACCCCTCAAGCAAAGACGACGATTCCTCCTCAGCCCACAGCTATTTCTACTACACAGACAAACGTTAAACCAAACATTTAATGCCAAGAAATTGCTTAGGTTTTTAGCAACACCAAAAAGAAATCAATCAGTAGGACTTTGAACCCAAGTTGAAAAGTCAAGAAAAGAATAGTCCAGAAACTGCAGCTGCCTCAGGGAAAACAGCAGGAGTGGTGCTCTGCCTCTTGGGCTGTGTGAGGAGGGTCTATGACCAGGACTCCCGGCTGGGCCACTGACCCAACAGGCACGAGGCATCAGTTGAGCTTTAAGGCCCAGTGGTGACAGCGTGGTGTTCCACAGCTTTGGATAAAACAGCTCATTATCAGAGAGGTGGGAAGTGCACAGCACGTACAGGTCCAGCTCACGAAGATGGTGACATTTGACAAAACAGCCCAAACAGCCCTCAGAACCAGGAAGTTAAACCGAGAGCTGCCGCAGAAGAGATACAAAAGCATAGTACCAACGAGATGGAAAACAGCAAATTGTGAACATCCACCATTTTTAAAAACAAAATAAAGCATCTTGCTGACTTCTTGTACTTCTGATGGCGACTGGGAGAACACTGTGTTGAACCTGTGCATTTTTTGCATGTACAGTACTTTAGCACAGAGGTGCACGCAGGTGATCCATTTAATCAAGAATTCCCAATCTCCACCCACATATGCGACCTACCCAGCCAGACCTCGGACAGGGAGGATTGGATTACTAGAAATAGAAATTTCACGTTGGATTCCACCAGTGTAACATGCCTAGCTGTTAAAACACCTAACAGCATAAATACCATCAGGAAAACAAAACCTATTTTCTAGAAATTTCTCAAGCAACCACCACCTCCAGAGAGGCTGAAAAGACCAAGTATTAGCCTTGATCTGAGCTCACAAAGCAGTTTGAAAAGCAGAGTTCAGCTGGAGTGAACACTGGCTTTCTGAAGCTAAAATCCTGGAGAAATCCAAGAGCTTTTTCAATGTCATTTAACTCAGGCCCTCACACACAGACCTAGGTCCTCATCTTGCATTAAAGACAGCAAGAGTTTCGGATATAAGCTTTTGTAAATTCACCATCATCTCCGTGCAGCCACACTGCTTCCAAAACATTTAATGCTTCAAAGTAACAAAATCCAACCCAAGTCTCTCAGAGGCTGAAACAGCAAGTGCCTCATTTACTAAGTGCTTACCAAGAGTTTCACCAATGCTTTCAAGCTGCTTTTATCTGGTCACCAGTGCAAGAAAAGGTACTTGATTTAGCAAAACAAAAATATTTTTCCATCTAAATGATCTTAAACTACGTGAACTGTTCAGCTTTTGGGGAAAGAGTTACATTCAGACACTCAGACATTCACACTGGCACTAGGTGAATCTGTGA